ACAGGGTTGGTACAAGAATTAAATAATCTGTGGAAAGTATCAGGGCCTGATCTTTTGTAATCCAACAAATAGCAATTGTTATTTTTTTAATAAATAATATTTGATAATAGTAATAATGGTAAATAAGTTCAACACGTACTGATCCACAGGGCGTGCAGATGACACTAAGATGACTGTAGATATGACCACTGAATTAGACAACACTCCATGTCCAAACTGTGGAGAATGGGGACTTGGAGGAAAGACAAGGATGATTATCCTGGTGGCGTGGGACATACAGGTTGGTAGACGTGAGATCAGTCATAAACAGAAACTGCAGGATGAAATGATTAAGCAAGGGGTCAAGAACACTCAATGAAGGACTCAGGAGGAGCCAGAATGAGTCGCTCTTAGAAAAGCCATTCAGCGTTGCCCTTTCTGAAGTAACTCTGGAGCAGAGGTCAGCAAACTGCAGCCCGCGGCCTGGGTTTTCTTTTTTTCTTTCCTTTTTTTTTTTTTCTTGAAGGTTTACTGGAACAGCTTCTTTCATTCACGTGTGGCCTAGTGCTGTCTGTGCTAACAAGGCAGAGGTGAGTAGCTGCAGGGAACACAGAGCCAAGACTATTTACTGCCTAGTTCTTTATGGAACAAGTCTGCCAGCCCCCTGTCTGGAGGACAGGAACATGCCACAGGAGGGTCTGGCCTTAAAACCAGGATTTCCGCACGGACCTCGCCTTAGCGCTCAGACTTGGACTCTGTGATTCCACCCAGTTTGGTTCAGTGGCCTGGCCCCAACACGGTATCAGGCCGGAACAGAGACAGATGAGACCAACACAGGGAGCTGACGCCTGCAGAGGTCTTAGTTGATGAAGGGGGAAGGATGGTACCCAGGGAAGAGCCTGCACAAAGACAGGGGTGTCGATGGCACAGCAGTGCATGTCGGATGCCACACGCTCGGGAGCAAGCAAGGCGTGATGCTCAGCTGTCCTTCCATGGCGTCACATGTCACTGCCTGCCGACACTGTCACCCTCGGACGTAGAACCATGACAGAAGCAGAATTTGGGGAACCTTTTGACTATTTTAACAATCCGTTCTCCCTTTCTTCTGCACCACTGCCATCAGCTTAGAAATATGCCGTGATAGCTCCTGCCTAAAACAGGCACACTCCCTTTACCACGGCCCCACTCCTACCAGCGAGACTGCGGGGCAGAACTCCTCACAGGGCATATCCAAACTCACGATAATAACCTCCCCTCCTCTCCTTCTCTCCTGAGCCCATGACACCCAGCTGTCAGCCCCAGCATCCCGCTAAAAGATGCTTATCAAGATCACCGAGGAGCTCCATGTTGCCAAACCCAAGAATCAGTTCTCAGGCTTTATCTCACTGGCTCCATGGGAGGGACTGGCCACAGTTCATCATTGCTTCCCTGTCCTCTACTTGGGGTTCAGCACCCCATGCCCTCTTGCTTTCCTGTCTACCTTCCCAGCTGCTACTTCTCAGACTCCTCCGCTGACTCCACTTCCTCTCCCTTTCTCCTACATGCCGGCCGGCCCCAGGGCTCTGTCCTTGCCTTCTTTTCATCTCCGTCTACAGCTCTTCCCTTGATAACTTCATCCAAGCCCTGGACTTTGAAGGCATTTTATGCCGAAGACTAGATAGAATGTATCACTTAAGCTCCCAAATCTCCCCAGACATCCACCCACCCACTTGGTACCATGGGCTTAAATTCCCGTGTCCAAACCTGAAATCCATTCCATCCGTTATCACTCCAACAGATCAACAGAATCCTCCCACTTTCACGCTCCCCAACGTATAGTCACTAACCAGGTGCAATGGCCCAAAAGGAAAACCTGACGGCTTCCCTCTAACACTCATAGCCAATCTATCAGCAAAATCGTGTGAGCTGTAAAACTATCCTTGAATATATGTCTTTATGTGTGCTAACCGGATAGGTCCATAGCACGAAAGTCTGCATTTTTGAAGAACCTCAAATTCAATTTTCCTACTGTACTCAATTTATTAATTAATAACAGTTCTTATGTCTGTTATATTGACAACATAATGGTTGATAAATAGGACCCTGGTTATATACATTACGCTACCATATTTCACAGATTCTAAGATGTCCACCTGTGATTTCACATTTAATATGTCTGAACTCAGCACTCTACAGTTGCTACTGGCAATATTAAACACATGCAATTCAGTATTTTCTTGCAAAGCAACAACCAAGTCTTCTAATGGGATCGTCTGATAGGCAGAAACCCTTAACATAAAACTGTGTTAGCTTTTGTTATTAAGATACATGCAAAAATAAATGTGCTTATCACAAACAGTGTAACTGATTTCATTTCAAAGAATCAGAGGCTGGTAATGACGAATTCATGAATCACGCAGGACTACTGGTAAGTGCTGTGTCATAGGTCAGCCGGCAATGTCTTTCCGTTTCAGTGCACAAGACAATTCTGCCTCTTATAATTTACAGCATCTTGTATTCAATTAAGTACAGCATAATGTACAATGGAATTTCCCACAGCTAGGAAATTGGGGCGCGGGGAAGTAAACGAACCAGTTTTTTTTTTTTAATGGCAAAAGACCTGCAAAGGCATTTCACAAAAGGATTTCCAACAGCCAGTAATGAAAAGGTACTCGACATAATTTGTCATCAGGGTTGTAATGAAAATTACAACCACAGAGAGGTAAGACTGCCTGTATCTAAATGGGTAAAATTAGTAAGACAGTACCAATGTGAGTACTGATACTGTCTTAGTAATTTTATGTAAGTACTAGTGAAGTAAGCCAGAAAGAGGAAGAAAAATACCATAGGATATTAAGAAAGAAAAAAAAAGGACACAAGGGAACTTATTTACAAAACAGAGACAGATCAGAGACATCGAAAGCAAACTTTCGGTTACTAGGCAGGAAATGGGGTAGGGAGGGATAAATCGGGAGTTTGGGATCTGTATATACTGACTACTATACGTAAAATAAACAAGCTCCTACTGTACAGCATGGGGAACTATACTCCATACCTTGTACTAACCTATAATGAAAAAGAATATGAAAATGAATATGTATATGTATAAATGAATCGCTACGCTGTACAACTAGAATTAACACATTATGAAGGGACTATATTTCAATAAAAATTCACATTTCTGCAAAAATAAAATAAAATGTGTATAGTAAGCCCGAAAGCAACCATTAAACAAACAAAAAAAAGACACAGACTGTCTGACTCTAGATCATAGAATCCCAGGAGTCTGGAAAATTTACTAAATCACAGAGCTGCGTGTGTCAGAGAACCACACACTAATACCTTTCATGAGCATTGACATAGAAATTCCTCACAAAATATTTGCAAAGTGAATACAGCAAGAAACAGTATGAATTGTTCACCACAATCAAGTAGAACTTAGCCCAGGAATACAAGGTTATTTTAACATCCAGAAGTTAGTTAATCTAATACACTGTAACAGAATAAAGGGCAATAACCACATAATCATGTCAAGACATTTAGTAAAAGCATTCAACAAAACCTAACCTCCATCCATGACAAAAACTCTCAACAGACTAGGAATGGAAGGACCAGATCTTAGAGTGGAAAGGAAAAGTACCCCTGGTAACTAGAAGGTAGTGCTTTGAGATTAGTCATGTTTCAACAAACTTTAAAATCGCTTCCTCCTATTCTAAAGTTAAATATTGTTTAAAAACTCAACATAAGCGATAGGGTTCTACCATAGAGCAGCACAGGGAGTTATATTCAGTATCTTGTGGTAATCTATAATAAAGGATATGAAAGAGAAAAAAATATATATGTGCAAAACAACCCCTTTGCTGTACACCAGAGACTAACACAACATTGTAAATCGATTATACTTAAATTTTAAAAAAATCTCAATATTAAAATGTCAGAAGCTTAAGAAGCAGATGACTTTTAAAAATTGTCCCAATTCTCTAAAGCTGATTAGGGAGGCTGCAATTCATGAAATTCATTATCTGGCTCCGGTCTTTCCATTATCCAGCCTTGTAAAAGGCATCAAAAGGATGCCAAAGGACCACTTAGGTACTTAGCCTATGGTGTCCTGTATTTCCCTACTATTTGCATATACGACCTGGTAGAGAGAGAACCTGATGACCAGCCTCGCAGAGAGAATGGCTAGACTACAGCAAAAGAGCTCTGGCCCAGGCTCCCTCTTCCTAAAATCTCCATATGCCACACCCCCTCGTGTGCCACCCACGTTCCATTTCCCCCCAACAATTATCCCTCATACGGTCCGTCCTCCATAAGACCATCCCAGCCCAACAGAGGAAGGAGATCAGGGACAGAGTCTTTATATTTCATAGCACATACTCAGCCACACAGATGGCCTGGGCCACTGCAAGCAAGCCCTTGTTCTTCTGCAAAGTCACCAACCAACAAACTGTGACTTACCGGGAGACCTCACAGCCATGTTGTATAAGCTTGTCCCCCTATAGCTCTCAAGTGCTTTCCCTAACACCCACTGTCAACTTTATTTTCCACATTTCATATGGGGTGAGAGGACCTTCTAACTCTTTCTCCTTACCAAGCAATCCCAAGACTTCAGGAAAGTGAAAATAAAAAGGAGCAGCTCTCTCTCCTCCAAATTTCAAAAGCATCAGCACCTTTACCTTGGAGGAGTACTGCCAAGACAGGAGGCACTCATTACACTGGTAAACCGAGGAGATAATGGTTAGTCTTGGTCAGGGGAAGGCAGACAGACAGCCTTGCTCATTCCTTGACTCATGGATTGGTGTCTGTGGCTGTGTTTGTACCACAGTGACAGAGCTGAGTAGTGAGAGAAACCACATGGCCCCAAAGCTTAAAATATTTACTATGTGGCCCTTTGAAGAAAATGTTTATGGTCTTAATAACCAGTAGAAAGGAGTCATTAATGATGCTACTGGGAGGCCATTTCAATCTACATACTAGACACTTCACACAAGAACAGACAATTTGCCCAAGAAGGTACCCCGAAGCAAGGAGTCACTATGTACCTCAGTTCCAATGAATGTAGGACGAATATACAGACTAGCAGACGTTGAATAGGGGACCCACTCTTGATCCACCTTCACGAGCTGCCGAATACACTCTAAAAGCTCTTGCTTGTCAAATGCCTGGAAGAATGAAAAACATAATGAATAACGCAATTTTCTTCCATTGTAGCAATAAGAAATGATCCTCATGAAAGCTTTAGGCTGTTTTTTTTTTAAAAAGTAATAGTAATAATAAACCAAATAAGTTTTTTTTTTCTGTGACTTTTTCCTCCCAAATTGTGATGGATGATTGGCTATCCACCTAAGGAAGATTAAAAAAGTGGTTCCCTACCTCTTACCATCCCCAAATACCAGCTATAGTTTGATTATGTATTTAAATGTGACAAAACATTAAGACATAAAAACATGCAAAATATCACTGTCACTTTAAAGTAAAAAAAGATTCCTTAAATAAGAGACATATGGCAAAAATCATAAAGGAAAAAAATGGATGCAATCTGACATTTAAAATTCAAGAAACTCTGTTCTTCAAAAGATGTACGAAGAAACAAACTGGAAGAAGTTCTTTGTAAAGTATAACCAACAAAGGATGGTAAGTGGAATATGTTAAGACGACCAGCAAATCAGTAAGAAAGAGACAGATAACCCAATAGGAAAATGCGTGAAAGTAAAGAGCAGTTTATTTCTAAGGTGGAAAAGGTTTTCATAGACTAGACAGGTGACAGTATGTAAAATAAGTAAGCCAGAAAGAGAAAGAAAAATACCACATGATGTCACTTATATGTGGAATCTAAAAAAAAAAAAATACAAACGAACTTATTCACAAAACAGAAGCAGACTCACAGACATAGAAAACAAACTTATGGTTACCAGCGAGGAAAGAGGGTGGGAAGGCATAAATTGGGAGTTCGAGATTTGCAGATACTAACTAGTATACA